CCTCCGGGCAACGGCGGCGGCAGTGCCAGCAAGAGCAGCACCAGCAGCACCAGCACTAGCGGCAGCGCCGACGCCAACAGCAACCCCCGCCGTGCCGCCGAAGAGGACGGCAGCGCCGCCGCCACCGCGGACGACAAGGCCAGGAGCAGGGTCGCCGGCCCCGACAGCTTCAAGTCCGGGGGCAGCGGCGCCGTGGTTGCCGGCGTCCCGCCCCTCCCGACCCCGGCCCCCGCTCGCCCGCCGGGCAGGCCGCCACCGATGCACCCGCCGGGCAAGCTCCAGCGCCGGAAAAACGGCCGGCCACCACCGGCACCGGCCGAAGACGACGGCGCCGGCGGGGTCGGGATCGGGGTAACCCGACCGTCGCCCAAACCCAACAAACCAACCGCCGCCGCCGCCGCCGCCGCGCCGTCTCCGTCTCCGTCTCCTCCAGGCACTACGACTGCGGCGGATGGCCGCGCTGTCGGCGGGGAGGCGGCCGCCGGCCTCGCCCGCCGACCTCTCGGGGGCGCGGCGGATGGCAAGCGCGGAACAGCAGCGTCCCGGCCGACGTCCCGCGGTTCTTCTAAAGGGAAGGGACGCCGTCGCCGTGCCGGTGGAAGAGGTGGCGCCGGCGGTGCCTGGGAAGCGGCGGCGGGAGGTGCTGCTGCTACGGCCACCGAGGAGGGGAAAGACGGGATGACGGTGGCGGAAGCCATGGAGCGGGGCCGCGAGCGGGAGCGGGAGCGGGCGTGGGAGGCGGAGGTGGAGTGGCGGTCCGCGTTGCCGGCGAGGCTCGAGGCGCTGGCAAAGCTGGCATCGATGGAGCGAATCGGAGAAGGTGTGTGCTGTAGGGGCGGGCGGACTGGCGGGGCGTTTGATGATTGGGTAGAGGTGCCTTCGCCCAGGTTGGGGTATATCACGCAAAGGGGGAGAGGCGTTGTGCCAAGGGTTGGTGGAGATTGTAACACACGTTTGTGTGTCCGCCAATGTTAGCGTTGTTTCGAGTCCTGCTCGCGCTGCCGTCCCTGCTGCTGCGGTTGTTCGCCCGCACGCGAGGCGCGTGACAACGTTCTGGGACGCCCGTGAGCCTTGTCTGCTGTTTCTCGCCGCCCGTATCGTACCGTGGTGTTGGTTTCGTTGTTGTGGCGTTTATTCTCTCGACGAAACCGTCGCTGTCGTACCTGCTGTGCGTTGACTTCGGACGGTCGTGATTTTAGACAAAAAAGTTAAGATAAGGGTGGGAAGTTTGATGTTTCGTACAATATGCGGACGTTGTATGGTCCATGTTGTTTTGCGAACTTGTTGTATTCCTCAAAACAAAGAGTTAGAAAAGGTCCTGTGCACCTGTTACGCGACCCCGCGGCTGATACGTCAGAAGTGTTCACCGAAAAGGTGAGTTGAGTCTGATGCCAGGATACAGATGGGAACGAACACACTCAAGCCCTTCAAGGGCAGTTTTTTTTGCAGCAGCTCACCTTGTGTCTCCGTTGCTTGGTGCTTGCTGTGCTGCCTGTGATTGCCGCAGAGCCGTCGGAGCTGCGGAAAGCCTGGATGTGGAACGATCGTCCGGGAGTGGCGAAGATGCTCAACGACGTGGCCGACTCCATGGCTGCCGCCGGCTTCCACGATCAGGCGGCAGATCTGTTCGAGAGGTTGGTGGTGGTGTAGTGGTCATAGACCCCTGGGTGATGATTGCTGCCGCTGTGTGTCGGTACTGCTGGTGTCCTTGTTTTTGTTTACAAAAAGTACGAGCTTTAGCAGAATTACTATAATATTTACCCGTTGGAGATATTACTACAGCAGTACAGCAGTAGTCGAAGGGGGATGTGTTGACGTCTTTGGTGTGAGAGACCTTGATGATGTTGTTTGTTGTTGTCGTTGTTGTTGCTGCCGGTGGTGTTGTGACAAAAAAGGGTGGACTCGGAGAGTAGAAGTAGTAGTCGTTGGCGTGAGGTCCTCGTGTGTTCGTGCGTTCTCACGCCCCGTCAAGATTTTACTCCACTTTTGTCCCGCAGCCTTCGACACCGAGACTACTGATCACTTGACGCCCCCTCCCCCCCCCCCCACGCAGGTGTGTCGAGATCTACCTGGTCTACACCGGGCCTGAGGGCCACGGTGAAATCGCGGAGGCCCTAAACGATCTCGGCTACGTGCTGTGGGATGCCTGCGCCAACCCCGTATTTATCGGCCAAGGTGCACAAATTGCTGTTCTTCCTTTTTTGTGGTTGTTGCTGTTGCTGTTTTGTTGTCGTCGTCTTTGTTGGTGGTGCTGCTGTTGTTGTTGATGCTATTTGTCTGCGTTGTTTGTCAATGTTATTGGTATTTTGAGCTAAAAAGCCGTGCTCTTTTGGCGCCTCTTTCTCTTGGGAAAAACGATCACAGACGTGGCCGAAGACATGGCGTGTACCCTGATGGCCAACGCGGAGGAGGTGTTCCGGTTGGCTCTCTTCGAGTGCGGCTCGTGCCCTGGCGGTGACCACCCCTTCGCCGCGACGTGCCTGTCCAACCTGGCGGACTGCGCGAGGTATTTTTTTTTTTGCAAGGGAGGAGAGAGGGAGACAGAGACGGAGACAGGCGGACAAAGACCGACAGACAGACAGTTGGCCCCATGGAATTTTGATTTTTTTCGCCGCTGGCACTGACGTCTGATCATTGGTCAGCCGGTATGCGGTCGATGCTATATTAAAGACAGACGGAGACAGATTGACATGGGCACAGCGATGGACCTTTTTATTTTCATCTCTTTTTGTCAAGTGCACGGGGCCCTTTCGCTTTTCGACAAATCCTGGCCAACCGAGCGGATTGCTCGAGAGTCGTGATACTATATAGGATGACTTGGTGTACGGTTTGGTATGAGGGCGATCGCCCACAGTCTTTTTCTCAAGGCAAACCAACACAACGGCGTTTTAAGTAACGTTGACATGGCTTCCTCGCCCCGCCACTCTACCTCCCCCACCCCGCCCGCCCCCGCCCCGGCGCGTCGAGTGCCTGTGGTCTGAACGGTTCTTGGAAATATCTGTAGTCTGTGCTAAGTACTGTAACCCCCCACTCGCCGCCCCCGCCCCCCCCCCCCCCCCCCCCCATACTCCCCCCGCGGCCCCTCTTTTTTTCCCCCCCA